GGGACTATGTAGACTATTGTTTCAGACACTAGTTAACTATGCGAACACAGGGAGATCACTTAAATTCTCTATCTTCAACTCTTCACCTGTGAAAACTCCAGATTTTCAGGATTTTTAATTTAGTGTAATGAAGTAATAAGGACGTTCTCTGTGGTTACTTATTGAAAGTATTAGCATATTTTTTCATTGTTTGAGTCTATTCAACTTATCTTTATTTAGCAAAGGATTCTGTTAGGAATGCCATGTAATTAAGACAATAACAATATGGATTCCTTATCAGAACTTGTGATCTAAGAGAGGTAATCATAATGCTAAATAGCATTTAAGTGTCCTGTGCAGACACAAATCAAGGACTGTGGGAGTGCTAGCTGAAGACAGTGAAAAGAAGGCAAGAGAAGATGGCATTTCACTGTATTTTGAGGACTAAATCTTGTTCATTAAGCATGGTCCTTAACAGAAAGCATTCCAGTTAGAATAACAGATTTGTGGGCTTCCCTGGTGACTCAGGGGGTTAAGATGCAACCTAAGCTATCCACAGCCTCTGCAGCATGGTTTCGGATTCCTGGCCAGGGAGTGGCCCACATGGCGCAGCAGACCTCTCCTGACTCCCCGTTGCTCCCCTCAGCAGTGTATTTCAGTTAGTCTGCCTGTTCTGTTCCCCACTCTGTCTCTGGTGAATCCTCTCACCCTCCACACCTCTGGACTGTACCCCAGTTCCTGTAGGCATAAATGAATAAATCTTTAAAAAAAAAAAATAACAGATTTGTGCTAATGCACCAGTGAAAGAACGCTTGGAAAAATACTGCGCATAAAATATTTACTGTGTTCTGTAACACAATAAGTATTAAAGCAAGTAGCTGAAATTAAGCAGCTATTTTTTTTTTTCCAGATTGTGGAAAAACTCAGCAATAATCTTTTTTTTTTCCAGATTGTGGAAAAACTCAGCAATAATCTTTTAAGAGCTTTTCCCTATTTTTTACACGCAATAAATATGGGTGGTATAAAATAAAAATCAACCTCACCTTGCAAGTGATTAGACATAGATATCAAGGGGGAAAAGATAAGTAAAATTATGCTCCAGTCTGGTGTATTAAGGACAGCATGTTTTGTTGTAAATGCATGTGTTTTGTTTTGGTCTGGTTTTGTTTTATTAAATTTGAAATTCAATAAATAGTGCAAAACTTTTTAGCAGACAGTTGGCCATGCATGTAGGTGCCTGAGAGAATAGTCTAAACATGAGGAACACACTTTGGCTATATCCATAAGGAATTGGAAGTCATAAGAATAGAGGAGTTTATGGAAGTCAAGAAGTAAAGATGACCAAAGACTGATCCTGAATTCCCACAAAATGTGCCCTTATTTCAACAGGTAACCTTCAGAAGATAAATCTATGTAGTATGTAAGTCAAATAGGATGGAACCAGGAGAGTTCCATGGAAGCTCAGAATATGTCAGCTGAGTTTTTAATCAGTATCTACCCTCCATGTGCCAAGCACTGTATTAAACTCTTCAGATACATAATCCTTGGTTCCTTAAGAACTAAGTATATTTATTATAATTTGTTGATGAAGAACCAAATATGGAAAGAATTGACATAATATAGCAAATGGAAAAATCTAGATCCAAATATAGACAGATATGATTCTTCAACCAATAATCTGGTCCCTATAATTTGCTATATGCCTGAGGGAGAGTTTCAAGGAGAATGTAGCTGACAGTGCCACGCATTATACAGCTTTCTAGCAGGGTGGACATTCACAAAAAAAAAAAAAAACCCTTAGCACTCAACTGTTAATTAATGCAGATCATTTCAGTCACGTAAGAAAGGAGTCTCCATAAAACATACTTCTAAAAATGAATGGAATTTAAAAAATTCTAAAGGTTTGCTCAAACAAAGTGAGAAAATAAAATTAGCTGAACCCTTTTGAGAAACTTAATGGAGAGAGATGGCAGTGCATGTATGACGGTTGGGGGAAGGTTGTTTGGTCGAATGGTGGGTTCATATTGTTAGTAAGAGAAGACTTGAACATGAATATGAAGTTAAGGGAGAAGTTAGGTGGAAAAAGACTCATTTTATTGAAAAAAAAACTGCAGAGAGCAGATCCTACAGAAAGTGAGGGGAAATAGAAAAGAGGCCAGTTCATTTAGAAAAGAGATAATAGGGGCCTCCCAGGCGGTACAAGGGGTTAGGTCTCAGCACTATGAAGCTACTGGCAGATACTGCAGAATGAGTTTGATCCCCAACCAAGGAGGTAACCCACATGGTACAGCAGACCTCTCCTGTCTCGCCCGCTGATCCCCTCAGCATTGTCTTTCAGTCCATCTGCCTGTTCTGTTCCCCACTCTGTATCTTTTGAATCCTCCCCTACCCTGCACCTCTGGCCTACACCCCACTTCTTGTATGCCAAAATAAATAAATCTTTAAAAAAAAAAGAACAGAAGAGAGAATAGTGGTTTACAGAGACATGTGCTTGAGCAAGGAAAACATTTAAGAAAACTTTCAGCAGATGTCCTGTATCTTCTTATAAATGGAAGATGCAAAGTCATCTCTTAAGACAGGTGGTGTCTGGTTCTGTGGAGTGGAAAGGTTTTGGACTCTTTCCCACAGAAAAAAAAAGTATAAGAAGAGTCAACTGGAGGTGAACAAAAGAATAACCAAACAACTCAGAGTGTATACTAATAATAGATTCAAAACTTTCTAGTTGAGCCAGTTGGCACAATTTTGTAATTTTTTCTGGTAACATTTTGCCACCAAGTAATGAAATCAAAGAAAGTACACCCTGGTGTTTACCCAGGTGAGACTTAGGAAGGTCAACTGACAAAAGATCAAAAGAACTTCTTTATGCTAATAAGAAGCTAAATGAAATAATGGACAATTTATCCAGACTGAACCTAGAGGAAATTAAACTAGAAAGAGTTAAAAGAATTAAAGATGTAATCAGTGTGAAGAACAAATTAAGAAAAAAAGAATAATTTGGTATGGCCACAAAAAACAAACAAACAAAAAACTCCAAAATACAAGATTTTAGAAATGAGGTCATTTTGAGTAATCATTAATTTTATATCCTCATTTGAAGTGCCATTAATGATAATTCTAATATGCCTCTTGGCATATTAGAAAGTAGAAGACCAAGGGGCCTCCCCGGTGGCGCAGTGGTTGAGCGCTGGGTTTCAGGGCTGCCCACGGCCTCTGCAGCACCGGTTCGATCCCCAGCTGCTCCCTGGCCACCGGAGGAGGGTCCCACATGGCGCAGACCTCTCCTGCTGCCCGCTGTTCCCCTCAGCAGTGTACTTCGGTCCTTCTGCCTGCTCTGCTTCCGGCTCTGGCTCTGGTGAATTCTCTCACCCTCCCGTGCTTCTGACTGTACCCAGTGCATGCATAAAACAAAACAAACAAACAAACAAATAAATAAATAAATAAAACATGCCTCTATTAAAAAAAAAAAAAGCATTAAAAAAAAAAAAAGAAAGTGGAAGACCAGGATGTCAACTGATTTTTTCCAAAAATCACTCCATAAGGGCCTCCCTGGTGGCACAGTGGTTAAAGTCTCAGCCCTATCAAGCTATCGCTATCCACAGCGGCAAGGGCCAGGGAACTGGCCACATGGTGCAGTAGACCTCTCCTTTCTCCCCTGTACTCCCCTCAGCAGTATATTTCAGGAGATCCACCTGTTCTGCTCCCCGCTCTGTCTCTGATGACTCCTCTCACCCCTACACCTCTGGCCTACACCCCAGCTCTTGCATACATAAATAAATAAAATAAATCTTTAAAAATTTTTTTTTTAAAAAGTTCATTGCTTAAAACAATGAACCCAACAGAAATTCATCATTATTTCCTGTATTAGTATTCATGCCTCTTTGGACCTTCAGGGAAGGATATAAACTTAAACAGAGTAAGAGAAATTAAAGCATTTTACCTTGAAAATATCCTTTTTCATTAAGTCTTTAGGTGTGTGTATCACTAAGTTTGTTTGGAAAAAACCCACTTTCATTGACTTCTTTGTCATATGAAAATTATATTGCAAAGATTCAGTCAAAGATTGTTATTCCTCTCAAGTAATGTCTTATAGGAGTCCACAAGACAGATCTCTTCCTGACCTGGGGGCAGTATTTGATCATCGATACTGTATATAATTGCTGGCACATTGTGGTAATAAAAAAGGAAATTGGATTTTGGTCAGTTTCATTATTGTTCTTAAACTCGGCAGATAATACACTTACTTAAGGCTTACTCTCATAGACCACTTCTACTCTGCCCCACCTTGGTATACTACTAATCTCAAGTTCTTCTCTGGAGTTGAAGACCAATTAAAATAGTTTTGGAACAGAAGAATTTTATGTTCTAACTAGGTGTTCACAATCTATGGCTTGTATGCTGAATCTGGCCCTATGCCTATTTTTGTAAACGACGTTTTTAAATAACATTTATTGAACATATTGTCTTTGACTGCTTTTGCACTAGAATGAAAGAGTTGATTAGTTAGGATACAGAACATATGACCTTATGGCCCAAAATATTTACTGCCATGACCTTTATAGAAAAAGTTCCCTGGGCCTCACCTGGTGGCGCAGCGGTTGAACACTAGGCTGCAAAGCTGCTTGCAGTCTCTGCAGCGCCGGTTCGATCCCCAGCCACCGGCGAGGGTCCCGCATGGTGTGACAGACCTCTCTTGCTGTGCCTGCTGCTCCCCTCAGCAATGTGTATTTCGTCCATTTGTTCTGTTCCCCACTCTGGCTCTGGTGAATTCTCTCAGCCTCCCGCACTTCTGACTGTACCCAGTGCTTGTATAAATAAATAAATAAATCTTAAAAAGAAAAAGAAAAAGTTCCCTGACCCTGAATCTAAATAGTTAGGACAAGAATCAAAGAATTATTTCCTTTGTGAACATGGAAACGTTAATTATTTCATGTTGGTTTTATATAGACCAATAACAAGTGTCTTTATTAAATGTTTACCATTCACCAACATTATATTTACCTATCAATTTTTCTCTTTTGTAGTTCCTGCTATGTGGATATTTGTTAGCAATGACTGATGTGGAAACTACATATGCAGATTTTATTGCTTCAGGAAGAACAGGTAGAAGAAATGCAATACATGATATCCTGGTTTCCTCTGCAAGTGGCAACAGCAATGAATTAGCCTTGAAATTAGCAGGTCTTGATATCAACAAGACAGGTGAGTACCAGATAGACCTCTAAGAGCATGAAATGATTTTCAACCTTTCACTAAGTGGGATTAAGCCATGAAAATGCACCTTTGAAAGTAACCCAGACAAAGAGTTATAAATCCCATAAGGCAAGATAAAAACCAGGGACAAATCTCTTAATCTCTCCCATTCTGTTTTTAATGACTTCTCTTTGTAGAATTTTCCATTCAAAGGCAGAGCCCTTAATCTGCCTTTTGCTGTTCTGATTTTGTCAATGTGATCAGTAAGGCACATGGGTGTTTAAAAGTCCTAATCTCTACCAGATAGCTGAAATTTCTTGTGCAGAATATTTAATAAAGTTGGAGCTCCTACCCTTGACAGTACTGGCCATCTGTAGCATGTAATAGAGTTAGATGTCTAGCAGGATTCACAGGTGAGTCTGATGTACCTCAATTCCAATGAAACTTCCAAGAGAAAATGAGTTTCCATGACTAAGACTAAATCTATTATTATGGAAGCAAAATAATCTGTTGTATAATAAGATTTAGGTCAAAATGGTGTTTCATTTTCCTTTCATGATAGAATGGGTTTGGGAAAATCTTGCTTTATCTGGCCTTGAGTTCTTATCCAAGAGGCTTAATTTTACCAAGTTTGATTTGTAAAAGTACTTCTGAGTATTTGAATGAGTCCCCTAATTATTCCTTCATCTGTAGATTTTGCAAGTATCAAAATTGTATTATAATTCGCTGAGAAAAAGAACCTTTAAAAATACCCTTTGTGGGCCTCCCCGGTGGCGCAGCGGTTGAGCACTGGGTTGCGAAGCTGGTTCGATCCCTGGCTGCTCCCCGGCCACCGGCCACCGGAGGAGGGTCCCACATGGTGCACAGAACTCTCCTGCCGCCTGTTGCTCCCCTCAGCAGTGTATTTCGTGGGTCTGCCTGTTCTATTCCCCGCTCTGGCTCTGGTGAATTCTCTCACCCTCCTGCACTTCTGACTGTACCCAGTGCTTGTATAAATAAATAAATAAATCTTAAAAAAAATAATAAAAAATAAAAATAGACTTTGTGTAGGGCCTCCCCGGTGGCGCAGCGGTTGAGCCCTGGGCTGCGAAGCTGCCTGCAGCCTTTGCAGTGCTGGTTCAATCCCTGGCCGCCTTGGCGCGCAGATCTCTCCTGCCTCCCGCTGCTCCCCTCAGCAGTGTACTTAGTCTGCCTGCTCTGCTCTCCCCTCTGGCTCTGGTGAATTCTCTCATCCTCCTGCCCTTCTGACTGTACCCAGTGCTTGTATAAATAAATAAGTAAATCTTTAAAAAAAAAAAAAAGCATGCATGTACACATTCAAACTTTAAAAAAAAATAACATTTGTGTAAAATTACCTTTAAAGTAAAAAGGAGGTCATTATTCAGGAACCACAATATTGTGAACATGAGAATCTCTTAACCAGTTTCTGCCTCCTGGGAACTAACTATCCAATATTATTTCTCTAAGAGTATTTTTATGGCAAAGCATTCCAGTTATTGGGAAACCAAATCAGAGTATATGTCAGAGTAATAGCTCAGCAGTAGTACTTTAAAATACTTAGATACAATACTTTATTCAATGGCTACAGATTAACAGGTCACAGGATGGTCTTTTCAAATTTAGATTGAAAATAAAACATTAACATCACCACCTTGATGGCCAATATATATTTTAGGTATCGTTGTTCCTCTATTACTACTATCAACGTAGCTCTGAAGAAGGCTTTAGGGAATTATTCTAATTTGGTGACTTTGGGTAAGTAAATATATTCTTCTGTGGACTTTGAGAATAACATTTATTTTATATGATACATTTCTTTTTAAAAAAAAAAAGATTTATTTACTTATGCATACAAGAGCTGGGGTATAGGCTAGAAGTGAGGGGTGTGAGAGGATTCACCAGAAACAGAGTGGGTAGCAGAACAGGCAGACTGACTGAAATACACTGCTGAGGGGAGCAGTGGGCAAGACAGGAGAGGTCTGCTGTGCCATCTGGGTCAGCTTCATGGCTGCCGGTAGCTTCATAGTGCTGAGACTTAACCCCGTGCACCACCCGGGAGGCCCAGATTTGTATATTTATTTTTATATAAGTGTTCTTTTAAATAATCTGTGTTAATTTCAGTAACCCTCAGTATTTGGTTATTTTTATGCATATCACAATTTATAGCTTCTTTGTGTTCACTGAAGTTGAGACTCATTAGCCCCAACGATTTTCTTTTATAAAAGCACACTTTAAGAGCCTCCCCCGATGGGGAGCATCGATGGCGCAGCAGTTGAGCGCTGGGCTGCGAAGCTACCCGCAGGGTCCCACATGGCGAGGGTCCCACATGGCGGGCAGACCTCTCCAGCTGAGCCCGCTGCTCCCCTCAGCAGTGTTTTTTTCAAATAATTTAAAATAATTCTCTTCTTTCCTAAGCATTTCTACATGTTAATTGTAATTCTCTAGGCCCTTGAAAATTATTTGTTTCTCTTCAAATCATAAACTAGATGGATAAAATCAGCACTGGCTTTATGTATTATTTTAAGTACAAAGAACTAAAAATAGTAACAATAGTACAATATAAAAGCCTAAAATATACAGCTGTCAAATGTATAATGGCAAAGATCACAGTAGCTGAGAACTGTGAGGGCCTTCCTCTATGATTCCTGAAAATTCAGTTTCTTTTTAGTTTATACTCAACAATACTGCAGTCTTATGTTTACCTTGACCTTTTAACAAGTATCTATGTAGCCCCAGGTCTGTGTTTGCAACATAATGCTGAACCCAGAGAAGTGTTCTCAGACATCTATTCAGTCCCACATCCCTTGGAACTAAATTGACTCATCTTGTATTTATGCAGTCACAAATATTCTACTGTCTTGCATCTTCCCTAATTTGAGTTCCTACCCTTGGTTACCTAGAACTTCTCTTGAATTCTTGTTGCATCTACAAATATACTAATCTACAAATCTCAGATTGAAGCCATTTGCATGCATATGTTTTTAAAAAAAGATTTATTTATTTATGCATACAAAAACTGGGATATAGGCTAGAAGTGTGTGGGGTGAGAGGATTCACCAGAGACAGAGTGGGGAGCAGAACAGGCCAACTGACTGAAATATGCTGCTGAGGGGAGCAGCGGGCAAGTCAGGAGAGGTCTACTGTGCCATGTGGGTCACTTCCCAGGCTGGGGATCGAACTCATGCTGCACTGCTGCGGACAGCTTCACAGTGCCATGTCTCAACCCCTTGCGCCACCAGGGAAGTCCCAATCTGCATATCTTGGGAGACTGTTGATTGCTCCACTATTGAAAATAGCATATGAAAATGACATATAATGCCTGGCCATACCCTTAGAACCCCCTTAGAACAGAATTGTTTTTTTTTTACATAGAACTGATTTTAATTTCCCTAAAGTGTGGTTCATGGCGAGATGTTCCCTTGTGTACTTGTTAAGAGTAAATGAAAATTGTTCTTTCAACATTTACATGTGAAGAATGGATCAGCCCATTTACCTCCATCTATTTGGATTATGATAACAAACTCTTAGCAAAAGCTGATAAAATTTACATTATTTCAATATACCAAAATATTTTGTCCACTAAGACATATTGGTTGCCGAGTAACAAATTAAGTCATGCAAATATTTGAATCTTTGAGTCAAGGATCGCCTACAATTTGTGCTCAGATAAAGTATCCTAATATGAAGAGAATGTATTGTTTAATTTCAGTGTTTGATGTGTCACTGGCTATGATTGCTGCTGAGGGTGTAGTTATGAGTATAGTTTTATTGGAATAACTATCTGACAGATGACTAACCAGCTGACACAATGACCGTTCATCTTCTACTCTTGCTGATGACTTAAACTAATCATAACTGAGAAATCGACTGGGTTTTTATAAAGCAATATCAACAATGTAAAATTAAATTTTTAAATATTCCTTCAGCTAAGACAATCAGGCATAAAGAAGTAGACTTATCACCCCTTCTGATTTCTGCCTGAAGGCATTTCTCTTTCTACAACCTGTTAAAACATGCGTAAGTGCTATTGTTATAGGACAGGGAGAGGGGCAGCCCAAACCCTGCAAACCTGCCTATTCTATGTAGGGTTCTGCTATCCGTCACATCAACACAAAACATATGAGACTTTAATGGGAAGGAACTTTAATAAAACTAGAAAACAATACAGGTAAGGCAAAGAAACTAGTTTTTAAATGAAACACCCAAAGTTACCCATCCCCTCGTGGGTAAAAGTCCATCCAAATGGGATATGGTGGAATAAAAATTAAAAGGGGGGATTGTAACAGGGTGGCCCCCAGGAAAGGGGGAGATTCCCTGCCCCACCCAAGGAAGGGTGGAGCTGAGCAGGAGAGGAGAAGCTGCAGAAGAGACTGAGGAAGGAAGCAGGATGGAGCCAGGAGACCTGGAGGAGGTGCATGGAGCCTAGAGACACATGAAGAAACTGTGCTTGTCTTTTGGTCGTGGACTAGGTGACACAGATGTGGGTGAGACCCGTGGGGAGGTGACAATGGCAGCTTTTATCTTGATGTTGATTTTGCTCTTTTCCTTCCGGGCTTGTTTGGTTGTTTCTGGCCCTTTTCTGTGGGTCCCCACTGGAAGATGCTTTAGACTTGTGGCAGGCTTTGGGGCCTTGTTCTGGGCCAATCCCATTTGGATGGAGTTTTACCCACGAGGGGATGGGTAACTTTGAGTGCTTCATTTAAAAACTAGATTCTTTGCCTTACCTGTATTGTTTCCTAGTTTTATTAAAGTTCCTTCCCATTAAAGTCTCATATGTTTTGTGTTGATGCGGCGGATGGCAGAACCCTACATAGAATAGGCAGGTTTGCGGGGCTTGGGCTGCCCCTCTCCCTGTCCTATAACACTATGACCTGTCCATAAGATTTCTGAGCTTTCATCATAATTGTAGATGACCACTAATCACTCTGAAAATTAAGTTATTATTTTGCTTTAGAGCCATGCTGTCCAAGTTCACAGGATCATAATTAGTCATGCCTTGAAACATTTAAACTACTTTCTTGATGGGGAATTGATTACCAAAAAAATGTATTTATCTCTTTGAGGACTTCAGACTACTTGACTGTTCTGAAATTCACAATATGATGTATTGAGAGTTGATAAAGATAAATAATAGTTTTGTTTTGCCTTTATCTCTTTCTCTTACAGAAGGTGAGGAAGATGCACAGCGAAATTCGACAGAACAAAGTGGGGAAACTAAGGGGGAAGCAGCAAAATCTGAAAGCTAACATCCCACTTTGACCTTCATCAACACCTGAAATGTCTCAAATCTCCAGGCCTAGCTGGAATGTATTTGTTTCCAAGAGTGAAAAGAGGAAAAAGAAAATGGCTGTGCTGCATTGCAGGAACCTGCTCATTATCATGTTAAAAATGGGGGCAGAGGCTGTGGCTGCAGACAGACTTTTCTCTACCTCTGTCATTAGCAATGGTTGAAATCATGTGGTTTGTGTTTGGACGGCATTTTTGTATGGATCCTTTCACTTGACCATATGATGAAATGCTTATAGAGAGTAGTACCGACCTAGATGATGATTCTTCCTGTAGCATCTGGCCCCTCACAATGTCAGAGGATTTAATTGTGTCTAATTGCAAAGGGTTGGTTGAACCCCAGAGTTTAAATATCTCTGGTTCAAGTATTCACCCAGTAAAAGAACCATCCAGAAAGCACTGTTTTTAGCATTATCTATCCATGTGTTCCTACTGTGTTATTTACACTGTTTTGTATTGTACATTATAGATGCTCAGCACTGCCCCGTTCTTTGATTGCTTATGAAAAACAAAAATGATGTACGTAACTGTGAATTTTTATACCACTCATTTTTAAAAGGGCTGTGTTTTTTTTCTTCTCTGTAGTGTGATGGTGTACACAGGATAGAATGCACCTTTTTAAAAACTTAACTTTTCCCCTTGATTACTGTAACTTGACGAACTGATGAAGTCCTATAGATTCATCAAGACTCCTATGCTTTATTATACAAGCATTTGAAAATACCCATTAATGTGAATATTACTCGAATTCCTAGGTCACACAGGTCTCTGCACAGATCAGAATTCAATTTGCAAACTTTGTTTTATTCCCACATGGAGAACTTTTCACAATTAATACTTTTATTTTTTAATATGAGAACTTTGGAGAATTGGGAAGCTGGGAAAGGGGAGTCAAAATAATATTTAAATCCAGGAATATTTTGTTATTATAGAATCAAATTTGTCAAAATACTGTATGCTACTGTTTAAACTTGGAGGTCAGTTTATCTCCATGAAGCTATAAAAGATGGAGAAAATGATCTCCTTACAATCATGTGGACACCAATCACAAAAGTAAAGCCCTTGTGTTGTGTTTTTCATGTCTTTTTCAGTCCTATCAAATCCAGAAGTATGCACTTTTTAATGTTTGTAAACTTTTACTAATAATTAGTGTGAATTGTACTCTGATATAATAATTATCATTAGAGCTAACAAAATCCTCATTGTTGATGGCCTCTGCGGTGTTTTGACATCATGGTTCTTATATAGAAAGATTTTGTGAGATATGTAATCCTTCTGGTCAGTATTATGAAACAACTTACCAGTGGTAATAAATAAGGAACCAGTAATATGCCAATGGCTCATGAATTACTGGATAAATAGCAGGCAACAGGAAGACCCTTTATAATAAAGACCCCACTTACCCGCCCTCCAGGCCTTAGATACAGTTCCATGTGACACAGGTTAAGCACATTTTAATATCCTTTCCATTGCATACAGGATAAAAGGTAAGTGTGCCCTCATCTCCCTTTCTAATACTTTTCAAATGACTGGGATATAGGAATGGGTATTATATGGCCCTCCGTCTTATATTACTAGAAAAATGTTAGCAGTGTGAGTCTTTCAGAGAATAGAAAAAGATTAAATTTTAGAGTACTTCCTTCTGTCTCATCCATTTGGATTCAAAATACCCAGCTAAAATTCAAAGAAACCTATTAATAGAGTCACAGTGGAGAAAAAAGTTTCCTGGAGCTATTTTAGACAATCTCTAGTTATCCATTTAAGACATCTAATCCATAATTTCATATTTTCAATGTTCTCATTTACCCTCCTCATAGTATTCTTGTGAATCTATGTAATGATCTTTTTCGTCCTAAAAAGTTGTGAAATTCCAAACTGATTTCATGTGGTTTTGCAAAATTTAAGACGTGCTGAGTATATGTGGAAGGTTTATATTCCTATGTGATATAATATTATTAATGCATGTAGTGTCAAGCTTGTCTTTGAATATTTAATAATGCTAAATTGTGAAGTCATATGGAGCTTTTGAATTATTTTGACCTCTTACTGCTACTTTGTCTGCTGTATTCAAACTGAGAGGCATTCCCAAGCTGGAAGATAAAAATCTACTTTCCAAAATGTCCATATTTTACAAATGTTGCTTAGCAAAAGTACACAGTATCTTCTAAATTTCATTGTAACACATTTCACTTGCAAGTCAATAAAATACAAGGAATTGAAATTTTAAAAAGAGAAGGAAAGGGTAGAAAACTAAGGTATTGTTTTGGTAATAAACTCTGGATGCCTATTAACCAATAAAAATTATGCTAATAAGTTTTCAAAATATTACTCTCCTATCTAATCCTCAAATAATTTGATGAAAGAGATAATATTAATTTATCACAGATTAAGAAATTAAGGCTCAGTAAGAAATAACTTTTTGAAGCATTAGAAGCTAATGAATGTTGAGATTAAGATTTGGACTTACGTTTGTCTGTCTCCAAGGAACATTCTACTGCACATGCCATAAAATTAAGCCAAGTACGGAGTGTGCTTACCTGTAAGAGAACATTCGGAGATGGACTGGTTCGGTCTTCATATTTCGTAGAAGGAAACTGAGTTCTAGAAAGGAGAATTGTTTTTCTCAAGGTTACCTAGCTGGGTAATGACACAAATGTGACTATATGATAGAGTGTACTTTTATAAAAAAGAAAATTAATTGCAACTTATTGTGTATGGAATATTTCCCAGAAGAATTTTTCTGGCATGCTGACTATAAAGGTAGTATGGTTCAGATTTTTATGCTACATACTACTCATTTTGTAATTAACTAGAAATATGTTAATTTTGGGTTTCAGTATATTTGCAACAAGTATGAGCTTGTCAAATTTACCTTTTATCAATTGGAAGCATTCTATGGGAACATATTACTATCATAAATTCACAGTGATAGTTTTCAATAGATAACAGACAGGCAGCCTCCAATCCTCAGGCAATACCCCCAGAGGTGCATATAGTAAATGCCATGTACTTGAGTCTTACTCAGACACAATGAAGATGTATGATTTTGAAGATGAGTGATATTGATATTTCTCTTCTGAAAAGCAATAAGGGGTAAAAAATAGTGTGACAACTGGACAGCAGAGCTTCTGAGTGAAGTCTCTAGTAATAGGGAGAAAATGTATAATCCATCAAGTGAAAACAAGAAAGACTATAATTTATGATATCTTTACAGGCCCTAAATGTTCTTTAATTAAGAGTGGCAGTCTCTGAAGTCATTTGTGAGCTTGTATGACTTTTGTATTTAGCAATGTTGCATGCTCACATGATTGATATTAAAAGTAATACATTTTTCTGAAATGTACACAGTCTATTAAGAGTATTTATTGAACATACTATGAACGTCTGATGCCCCAGAAAATCCTGTGGATGATAAAGGAGAAATGCAAAGCCTCACCCCTCCTGTGGTGGAAGTACCCAACTTTCCTACCTAATATTCCTGACCTTTATTTCATTCATTTCCCCTCCATTCCACTCTAATAACCCACACTTCCTGGGCTTTCTCTACCGAAGACAATTCTTGAAACATAAATCTCAATTATCATCCCTGTGATTCTTACTTGCTCATCTGCAGGGTAGTGAATTTCAATCAGGAGAAAGGCAAGTTTTTAATCAGAATCCCCAGAAAGATTTTACATATGTCCCACTCCACCTGCACACACATAGAAACATTCATCTACACTCTTCTTCCCTTTGGAACTACTCCCTGTTTGACTTCAATGTCATCTATTCTTTAAACCCCCAATATGAACCTGATCTCGAAGTCCAATGTTTTCTGATGTATCTACCATGTTCATTCCACCAAAAAGCTTTAAAATCAATCAACAGTGTAAAGGAGTGCTCACAAACACCCAGGGTTTCACCATATTAAGGATATGATCTTGGGGGGAGGGATGAACAAATAAAGTCTAACCTCTTTATTTTGCTGTTGCTCTCTTTATGTTAATCATGAAGGGGCAGAAAATACCAAGCAGAGAACAAGATGGGAATCAGGAGAAAGTAAGCATAAAATAGCACTCAACCAGAATTCAGACAATGTCTTATGTGACCTGAGTCAGGTCACAAGGGTAAAATACTGCCTAGAGATTTGGAACAAAATGCTAGCCAGCACATCAAAGTTAAGTTAGCATCAATTCCAAAGAACACCTGCACCCCTATGTTTATTGCAGCACTGTTTACAATAGCTAAGCTTTGGAAACAGCCCAAATGCCCAAAAATAAATGACTGGATCAAGAAGATGTGGTACATATATACCATGGAATATTACTCAGCATTCAAAAAAGATAAACACATGCAATTTGCAGCAACATGGATGGCGCTGGAAGGGATCATGCTCAGCGAAATAAGCCAAAAAGAAAAAGAAAAATACCGGATGGTCTCACTCATAGCAGGAATCTAGAAAACTTAAATAAGGGACCAGGAAAATGAATAACTATAAGAAAGTGAAAATCAAAATCAACAAAAAACTATGAACCAGAGACACTTTTTGGGGGCGGGGGTGGGAGGGGAGGGATTGGGGTCAGAATGGGGGGGCTGCAATTGTATGGGGAATATAAAAATAAAATTTATTATTTAAAAAAATAAATAAATAAATAAAATCAAAAAAAAAAAAAAACAAAGTTAAGTTAGCCTACTACTGTCTATCATATATTTTTTGCATCTGTCTAGTTGAGATGTGGGTATTTGTGATCATAAATACAAAATTAACAAATCATATGACTATCAAGTGTTAACTTTCTAATTTGTACCTCATCTACATTCTGATTATATCAAGATGGATATTTCCTCAGCCACTTGCCTACCAGTCTGGAACCCACTGTTAATCTTTTTCCTCAGTGGTCTCATTTCCTTGCTTTCTTGTCTATTGGTCACATTTACCTAATCAAAATCAGTTAGATTACCTCCCTTTTCTCTGTTTGTCCCCTAGATGGCTATAAAAGGTTTATGACAATATTTGTTTATTGTTTGCAACCTCAGACATAAGTGCTGCACAGAATTTTTTTCATGCCCTTAAGAAAGAGAGGAAGTTTCCCACTCCCTAAGATTTATTACTTTATCTGAGCTTTTTAATCCATATTCTTATTGACCTTTACAGGAGGTCTGTTAATTATCCTGTTTTCCTCACAGACTTTACCCTTTTCACAAATATGCTACAAGTTCTCAAGTTCACCCTGGTTCCTTCATTACTTACATTTCTCAAATGCCAATCTATGCTCCCTATTTTCATGCTTCTCCACCTCCCCATTCCTTATCCTTTTGCAATTTTCCTGGCAATGATATTTTTCACATTAACAATAGCATCTTCAGTAGCTCCTAGATTCTCAGCAATGATCAGAGAAACCCAGGTCAAACTGAAAGTTTAAAAATGATGTCCATTTTGCTCCCTCTCCACTTTATTCTCATCCCTCTCCCTTCAGATGCCTCAGTTTTTATAGTCAACTTCAAAGGTTAGTTTTTAAGTTTAACTTTATCTGACCCTTTGTTTGGTTCATCTATATTCCACATATAAATGATACTACCTACTATTTATCTTTCACCTTCTGACTTATTTTGCTTAGCATAATACCTTACAGCTCAATTTATGTTGTGCAAATGGCATCAGTTAATCTTTTTTTTATATAGCTGAGTAGTATTCCATTGTATGTATATGTGTGTGTGTGTGCGTGTGTATCAATCACATCTTTTTGATCCACTCATATGTTTTATGGCACTTAGGTTGTTCATAACTTGGAACTTACTATTTATACCAACCAACCTGTTACCCGTTAGCATTAGTGAGGTTATCTTCCTGATAAGACCCTCTTACATTTCCCCAAGGGAATGTAGCTTTGTGTGAAATAATCTTCCTTTTGCTAATCTTTCTTGTCCACCCTCTTTCTGACTAAAACCTTCCATGTTGTACCAATTCCTTGGAGCATTCTTTTATTTGCTAAGTGGGATGCTGCCCATTCATGAATTCTGTAATAAAGCCAAGTGGATCTTTTAAATATAAATAAAACTGATGTCGCAGAGGATTAAAGCTTCAAATTTAATGATTTTATAATTGTAATTGATATTAGTGTGGCAAAGCATAGCCACAAAATAAAGCCTTTTTAAGGATGGAATCTGTAGATCCCAAGAAAAGTCAGTTTTCTCCTCCAGGTTCATGCCTTCATCACTTATAAATGTGTTTTTGCTCTTTAAGCACAATCACCCCATAATGCTTGTTTGCTACACCCTCAGATCCTACAGTGTTCATTTCTTTGTGGGGTGGTTGCAGTATATAGACACCTGGAGCCTAAATAT